ACAGTTAATGTGGCCCAAATACCAGGACTTAACACTCTTGGAATTTCTCTTGTTCGAATTGACTATGCACCATGGGGTATCAACCCTCCACACACACACCCTCGTGCCACCGAAATCTTGACAGTCCTCGGTGGTTGTCTTGAAGTTGGATTTGTTACATCTAACCCTGAAAACCGTCTCATCACAAAAATTCTACAAAAGGGTGATGTGTTTGTGTTTCCTATTGGCCTTGTTCATTACCAAAGAAATGTGGGAAACGGTAATGTTGTTGCCATTGCAGCTTTGAGCAGCCAGAATCCAGGTGTGATCACCATTGCAAATGCTGTGTTTGGTTCTACCCCAGAGATTCCTGTTGACATTCTTGCAAAGGCTTTCCATTTGGACAAGAATGTAGTCAATTCCCTGCAATCAAAGTTCTAGACAAGAAATGGAAAATGGTGGAACAAGAGAGAGAATTGGTTTGGCCATTAATTAATTCATTAGTCTTATACTTGTCTTTGTGTGTGGATGGCATCAATTTGTATTGTGAGGATTCAAAGGCGTTTCGTTATTGAAATATATCTTCGTGTATCAAATCATTCATTTTCTGCCTTAAATTCATGTTTGTTCTGCCTAATCTCCTTTCTTTTTTAGCTAGCCACCTGATGTGACTTCAATTTACAGGTCTCTTTTATGGATGAACCCAATTACCAAAATTTAGAGAATCGCAATCTAATTAAACGATATATAGAGAATCAATCAGTCAAATCCAATTGACTAAGTTGGCTTAAGGTTCAATTGCCCCTTTTCTTTTGAGAAGTAATGTGTGATTTTTCTTTTTAATGGATGCAGTAATGGACCTGTGACATAGTAACTTAATGGATAAGACAAGACAAGAGCTGCCTCTTGGCATATCTCTGATGAGTAGTGCTAAAAAAAGTTCCCCACAAATGACGCAAATTATTTTATCAAAACTGTACACTTGTATCCTATTCCTGTGACTACATGCTGTAGAGCTACTTAAGTCTGTCACTATAAAAAAACAAAAGGATTTACGAGGAAAAATTAGAGATGGTTTCAAAACCATCGCTAATTTATTAAAATTGTGACGGTTTAAAGCACTTTAATGAGAGAAATTAACAACGGTTTTTTCCAAAATAGATGAGTACTTTCAAAAGAATGGTTTTGCAAAGAGTCCATATAAGCATGCCTTATAGATAAAGAAAAATCATGGTGATATCATGACTGTGTGCCTATATATGGATGATATGATCTTCAAGGAAAATAATACAGGTATGTGTTATGATTTAAGAAAGATATGACTAAAGAATTTGAAATGTCAAATATTAGTGAAACGTCATACTTTTTGGAATCGAGGTAAAACAAATGGAAGATAGAATATTTATATCAAAAAGAAGTATGCAAAACAAATTTTGAACAAGTTTAAGATGAAGGATTGCAAACCGGTAGCTACACTAGCGAGATGCAAGCATAAAGTTAAGAATAGATTCGAACAAAGAATTTATAAACCCAACACTCGTTCAAGAGTCTCGTCGAAAGTTTGAGATACTTGACTTTTACGCGTCCAAACATAATATATGCGAGTTGGGCTAGTCGGTAGGTATATGGAGAAGCCAAAGCAAGATCATTTTGTTGCAGCAAAAGAATTTTAAGATATGTCAAAAGTACAATAGATCATGGATTACTTTATACATATTCTTAAGATTCAAAGTTAATTGTTTACTTAAACGAGTAATTATGGTAGAGACTTAGATGATCGAAAAAGTATTTCCGGATATGCATTTCATATTAGATCAGTAATATTTTCATTGTCATTAAAGAAGCAACAAACAATTGCTCTCTCGACATGTGAAGCGGAGTATATAGCCACATCGGTATGCACGTGTTAAGCAATATGGTTGAAGAATACTTTGAGTAAGTTATATCATGAATAAGAAGGTTCAACTACAATATACATCGACAATAAATTTGCTATATCACTTGTGAAAAATCTAGTGTCATATAGCCGAAGCAAACATATAGGTACAAAATATCATTTTATTCGAGAGGAAATGAAAAACAAAGTTGTTGAGCTAGTTCATTGTAAAATAGATGATCAACTTGCAGATATTTTTACGAAGCCTTTAAAGACAGACATATTTCATAGATTCAAAGGAAAGCTTAGCATGCAAAGTCGGGTTTGAGAGGAGAGTGTTAGAAGTCAAACCCTCATATATTAGGAAAGATAAAAGTGTGGTTGATCTAAGAACTTCTATATGAGAAAACCATGTTAAGAAATTGACTTGCTATGTTGATAAGCTAGCTGTAGATGGCAGCTGTGCAGCGGCTGTAATTGAAATACAAGTTAAGGAAACCATGTTAGCTGTACATGGGCTATAAGGCGATGAAGGATTGCGACTGCCAATAAAGATTAGGCGGTGAAGGATTTTGAAGGCTTAGCTGTCAATTAATTATAGATGGTCCTAGGCAGTTAGCTTCGCTATAAATAAGACCGTTGTATTTGTAATATGTGTGTGTAATCAGAATAGTTAGAGGGAGCAGCAGCTCGGAAAAGAGAGAACTAGAATTAAAACAATTGAGAGAATCAATTTGTGGGCGTGATATTTATCTCGTAATCAATATATATATATTTCAATAAAGTGTTGTTTGCTGTATTTGTGAGCCCATTATGCCTCCAACAATACCAGGGCTTAACACTCTTGGAATCTCTCTTGTTCGAATTGACTATGCACCATGGGGCATCAACCCTCCACACACACACCCCCTCGAGCTACTGAAATCTTGACAGTTCTTGAAGGTAGTCTTGAAGTTGGATTTGTGACATCCAACCCTGAAAACCGTCTCATTACTAAAGTGCTAGAAAAGGGTGATGTGTTTGTGTTTCCTATTGGTCTTGTTCATTACCAAAGGAATGTGGGAAATGGTAATGTCATTGCCATTGCAGCTTTGAGCAGCCAGAATCCAGGTGTGATTACCTTTGGAAATGCAGTGTTTGGTTCTACCCCAGAGATCCCTAATGACATTCTTGTGAAGGCTTTCCAGTTGGATAAGAATGTTGTCAGTTACCTTCAATCAAAGTTCTAAGCAATGGCAAAATTAAATTCATGGAACCAGAGAGAGAGGCTGGATTTGTTGGGGATATAAGTTGTGCTCTTGTGGAGGCTTTTATTGTTTGTTAATTTGCTTGTAACAATCTAATATTCTTTAGCTTGTATTTCTGTTTGCCTTTTTGGGGGATTCATTAATTAATTCGTTGCTTTAATTTCTTAGTTTTTTTTTTTCAGGGCTATATAAATTATTTATGTAGCTATTGAAATTGTTTTTTTTTTAATTCAATTCTGTATTATTTTATCTCTCAATAAAAGATATATTTGTACGCCGTGAATTGTGAATCTTATTGTTCTGTCTCTCTATGGATTACCCTATACTTCCCTTTTCATGGCATTTCAAGAAAAAAAAATTATTTCTCAGTTTTAAAAAAGATTATATTGTCTTTTTTATTTTTGTTTATTTTAAAATATTTGTTTTAGTCAAAGTATTATATAAAACGGTATCCTTAATTAAAATTTATTTTTATAAAAGATCAACAATTGAAATAAAGATATTTGACAATCTGTGAAAAAAAAATATTAATAGAGCATAAAATTATTGTTTAAACTGTATTTTTTTTAAACAATATTCTTCATTTTTTATACCAAAATTTCGTCATTTTGTGTCCTAGTTTGTATCTACGTATAGTATGAGCCAATTCTCTCAAAAGATTATAAAGTGTCGGTTTTTTTTTTTTTTTTTTTTTTAATAAGAAGAAAGTGTCATTAAATGGTTCATATATATGATTGAAAAGATCGAACTTTCACTAATTACAATGGCATTAACAAGGGAACTAATGTACAGAGATTTACACTGGTATAGGTATTAATATTTTAGGAGGTATATATTGGATAGTATAATGTATTTCTAATTTATGAAAATGAATTCATGAATTTCAGTAATAAAAAAAAAAAAAAAGAAGGGAATTCTCTAACCAAACATATTCATTTTCCCAACCAGAACAAGGTAATTAATTATAAGACATAAAAAATCAAATACAAGGATCAAATTTAACCTACCTTGTATGTTCTAAATCAATTCTTCATGCTGCAATATTATAGCAATCTAAAGAATTTATGTGAGCTAATGTTTTCATAGTGTAGCTATGATACGCTAGAGAGAGAGTACTGTATGAAGAGCAACAATAGTAGTGGTTAATATTTTTTATTATTATTTTTTTAAATCATATTTGTTTATATCGTAATTTAATTCTTGTATTATCAAAAGACATTTAGATAGTGTTGATGAAAAAAATATACTTTTATTATAATTTTTATTGAAAAATATATTTTTAATGATTTTTTTAATTTCATTTTTTTCATTCTTATGTTTTAGATTATATTGGGATATTTTATGAACTTCAGGAGACAAAATTAAAATTTACATGGAGTAGAATAAAAATGAAATATATGGGATCTAATTGAAATAAATAAATAAAAATTAGATGAAATTGAAATACTACATAAATCTTAGAGAATAAATTAAAATTTACCCTTAATTAAAAGACATAATGAATCAAATACACGGATGAAATTTAACTTTTCCTCCTACATTTTGAACAAGTCCTCAATGTTGCAATACCATGGTAACTTTGCCACATAACAATTAACAAGCTAGCAACCTAAAGATTTCTTTGAGCTAATGTTTTTGTCTTTTTGTCTCTTCTTTTCTTCTAACTTTCTTTGTCACGACAATCAATCGGTATTTTTGTATTCTTTTTTTTTTTTCGTTAATTCTTCTTAAAATAACAAGATCAAGATTCTAACTTGAGTCATGCTCTCTACTATACTAATATATACTCCACAGGAATATCAATGAACAAACCATTAAAGCCATATGCCAATCCTAAAGCGTGTGTAAACCTAGCTAATGTCAAG